GGGGGGGAGGGGGGGGGCATCAACGCCGTGTACGACTTAACAATCAGACCGTGTACTTCGAGTGTTGAACGATGCTGACAGAAGAATTTCTGCAGCTGCATTTGTAGCTCGGTCGGCGGCGGAGGGAGGAACGCATGCAAACAAGGGGGATGCGGGAATCAATGCCGTCTGCAACGGGCCTCTCTCTTGAACGAAAAATCGAAAGATTGAGGGCGACGTGTCTGCAACATCTTTTTCAAGGGAAAAACCACCAACGCCAAGGATTGATTGATAAATGCTCTCTGCAGAGAGACTTTCGGAGAAACCCCAACGTCATGTGAAACTTCGCCAGCATCATCGGTGAGCTGGCGTGCGATGAAAGGTTTTCCACAACGATGGCTTCTGTCCGGGTGGTGGAGAACTCATGCGTTGGAAATTTGAACGTAAGATGAGTTGAAATGAAACGTTTTGTCTCGGGGGGTAATCTTCAGGCGAAGGGATTGGATGTTCCTATTGCAAACGATATTTATTCCACGGTGTGGGGGTGTGTGAGGGTGTACCTCTTAGCCGTTGTTTGGGGGGCAAGACGACCCGGTCAGGGGGGGGGGGGCTACTCTAGCTTGCCCTGTCGTTTTTGAGCCCTGGCCACAGATCATGCACGACAGAGAGGACAAGGGACCAAGGAGGAGGTAGTGGTCTCTAGTTCTGGCATCTTCCCGCAAGTCTCCAGCCGTTCTTTCGGCATCCACATTATTTGCTCCTTTTCCTCAGCGTCTTGCAGTCATTGTTCAGCTCATGGTGTCTCTTCCTCATGACCTTGTACATTCACCCCCGCGAACGTTTCTGTCGCCAGTACCACGACCGAGAGGTGGCGTATGCATGTCTCTATATAGCTATTGCGTTTCTTTGGTTTCCTGGATACATTTCGTTGGAGAAATGGTGAAGCACTTCTAGGTTACCACCACATTCCTTTTATTACGCCCTGTTTCTGTGTCTACTCTACAGCCTGTCGCCACCCTGGCACATGGCCTACTACTGATTTTCCGGCCGTATCCTCTTCCTTGCTCCTCCTTCAAGTATCCAAGGAAAGCTGACTGGCTTTTCTCCGATCATGCCATTGGTCCAGCTGCCCCACGGACTCCTCTGTCCCTCAACGCTTGGCAAGCGAATCGAAACTTGGCCTCCATGCATCATCTCATCGTGTCGTGATCTAAGGGTCGAGAAGCACCTTGTTGGCGTACCTTGCCTGTTCAGGCCGTGCATGTCTCCTAAGCAGTCCAATAGCGCTCCTGACGATACTGCTGTGTTGACCGCAACTACCCGTAACCGTGCATGATATCGCACCCCCGTGTTAGCGTTTTTCTATAGCGTATTTCTCCACCACTAGGAGGGTGCGAACACCAACTGATACCTCTACGGAAAGCCCTCGATGAGATGTTTCCAAAATCACCCTTTTCGGAGGTGATACCTCCCTGGTTGTGGAGAAATAATCTATAGAATAAACGCTAAATAACACGGGACTGCGATAACACGCACAACTACGGTATACTGTACGGCACAGAGAATGTGACGTTCCTTCCTATTCGCTTGTGTTCATTCGTGCCAACGCTTCCGGGCGAGAGGTACTGTATGTGAGCGGGCGAGGCACCCCGTGTTTTCAAGCTTTTGAAGAAGAGCGGGTTGCCTCTACAAGAGTTTGAACGGAATTCACCTTGAAGTTGGTACAAGGCCGACCCGAACTACTCTGTTTGGTGAGTGAAGTCGTTCTTCGAGCCAATCGTTCTCCCGTCATCCCGTGGACGCGCGAATGGGACTTACCGATGATGAGGTCTTCAGCGGCTGTCGCCTGCGCCGATGTAGTGGCGGCCCAAGCCCCTGCAGCGATTCCCACCGCGAACACGGCGGGTGCAGCCCTTCGGTACAGGTTTTGCAGCAGCACGAACGTAAAAAAACCCATCACAACAGCAAAAACACCAAGGAAAAGAGGGAGGAGTTTGAAGTCACTCCCATCGTGTCCCTGTGGGCAGCACAACAGTCCGTCTCCCAAATGGGGGAAAGATCCACCACCCGGCGAACGTGTTACGTAGCAGCCTGTAGCCAACAGCTTGACTACCACACGAGGAGCGAGCTTGGGGTACCTTATTTCTGTGCCCCTCGCCCCCCCCTGTTGCCCTAACGTGGGAAGATGAGACGAGCAAAACATGCTTGGCCGGATGCGTGTACGTGTGCATGTACCACACCACGAAAGTCGCGCCCCCTCAAATATACGACGGGTATGATGGCCACGTTTCCTCTAATCCGTGGAGTGCCTTCTCCCGAGCAAGGTGAACGTGCATTCCAGCTACATATACCTTGAGAAGCGAGTAGGGGGAGGGGCAATCGACGCCATGCTGCTTGGGACGTAGACATCCGACATTTGACCTGTTGTTTCAGAAAGGCGAGATAGAGAGGCAGACGATAACACGCACCACCAGAGAGGTATGAGCAGGTAGCAAGTCGTGGGAGTTTCGAAAAGTAATGGTGGCTTGTGCAAACAACCCTGGATGGGCGTTGTCGGGGCCATATTGCACATTGAACCAGTTCATACATACCGTACGCCGCACTTGCGCGCACCTACAACAGTAGAACGGCCTACATGCAATCTCTGTCGTACCTGTCCTTGTCCAGCGACGCAGGTCTGGCGTGGGCACGGGTCTTTTCGCTTTCACTGCTGCTTTGCCCCCCGAACATTCAACATATCAAGCGTAATTTGGTGTTAGCTTGCACGCCGCCGGCGCTTTAGCATCAACGTGTGCTGCCGAAAACAGTCGAGAGACTGACGCACCTGATTCACAGCAAGTGCCACTAAAGAACAGCAATTGCACAGGGAGCAATAGAAACACACCTCACGAAGGACGTTATGTACCACAATCGAGGTAATCGTCGGCTGGAGAGGACGGAAAACAGGACGTACGTACGCATGGCGCAATCCGACACGAGGTTTGGGCGGCCCGATGTACGACACGCACTGCTGCCCCTCTATAACGTCGTGCATGTAGGCCGAACTTTTCACAGCGTAACTAGACTAGACCAACTACTCTACGATAGTCGCGGAAGGAAGTGGAATGCTACGTACTACATGGAAACGTAGTGTTAAGCGCAGACAACCGAGATACATCGCAGGGCCCGCAAGTTGCATGCCCACCTCTTGCTCGTTGTCCCCCTTCTATCTTCCCATACTGTTGTGCTCGTACAAAGTAGAACTCCGTCATTTTACGCACCGGTGATTTTTTCTAAAGTACACATGTTTCCACTGCTTCTCCAGATCGTTCCCCGGCCACCCGAGAGCCTGTGCCATATCTATGCGCCGAGATTTTCCAAACGGTCGGAAACGAATTCACGAATCCGATGTCGCCCGTTTGCTCCACAGCAGTAGTAGTTGCCGTTTGCTTTGGCTAGCCTCATCGCTCACTCGCTCTCTTCGTATACGAAATAGATATGGATTGGATACTACGCCCTCAAGAGCACGCCGCGGGTAATTCAGAATACAATGGTTGACACAGATGGCGGCGCGCAGCTGGCTGTAGATCACTTGCTGACCACAAGTAGGGTTCAGCCCACGGCGGGTAGGTGACGTGAATACGATATCGCATCTCGATTTCTTCATGGATGCACAATGATACTCCATGACGAAGAGGATTACGCCACAATAACATGATGCGCTTTTCGGGAAGGCCTCGACGAGGCGATTCCAACGCCGAAAAACTGCGGCGTCTCCACTCTTCCTGCCGTGAAGCAGCCGGAGTTTGAACATCTTCCCAGGGGGTATGACATCTTCCGTCACCCACTGTATACCGGTCCGTGGCGGCCGTTTTTTCTTTTCTTCGTTATTGTTCTTCCGTTCCTCTGCTGTTTTTTTTCGCCCTGCTCTGTCTACCCCTCCCCTGATTGTTGTCTGCTGCTGTCTACTGGTAATATTGGTGTTTTATTATTATTTTGTTTGCCGTCCGACAATTGCAGATAAATGCAGACATACATAAAAAGTCGATCGTAAAGGTCGTCATGCCAAGCCGCTGCCCAATAGCTAGGAATGTTCGCCTCTAAGTCAACAAAACTTTGGTCGAAACACTACAGCTGAACTCTAGGCACGAACCTTAGATGGAGAAAAACGAACGAAACCCCAACCTCATCCACCCGAAATCAAACAAAACTCGGCCCCGTCTTCCCTGGTACCGCTGACACCGTATTGAACAGAAATGCGCTTTCCACCGAAGTGGTTAGATTGAAGCTGTCGCACGCACATTTCGGCGCGCAAAAGTCTGTGCGGCATTGCTGATCGATATTGCCACCGGTCACACCAAGAGAGAAACATCCGCCGTCTTGCTCTTTCTGAGGCAACCCCCATTCAAGCCCATGTTCCCCCAGACCCCGGACACTGCCACCCCCTGTTCCTACTTCCTTGTCACCTTCAATCACAAGGGCCAAGCCCTCCCCCCTCAGCACTCCCGACACCGTATCGAACAGGAATCCGCTTTCCACCGAAGTGGTTAGGTTAAAGCTGTCGCACGCATTTTTCGGCACGCAAAAGTCTGTGCGGCATTGCTGATCGATATTGCCACCGGTCACACCAAGAGAGAAACATCCGCCGTCTTGCTTTTTCTGAGGCAACCCCCACTCAAGCCCATGTTCCCCCAGACCCCCGTTCTGTACTTTTCTTTTCCCTAGATACCGACCGAGATCCAGCATTTTGCCTTAGCCATCATTCGTATAGACGATGCCTCAGCGGAAAATCTACAGACGTTCAAAAACTCTTCGGGCGGCTGGACGGTGCAGGATCCCAGTTCTCTGTATGGGGTACATACAAGTGTGGATATTGTTCATTGCTTTATTGACCGTATACACCCCTGAGAAGAGTCAGATGTTGAGTATGGTGCAGCCCGGCGTAATGGTCCGAAGAGGTCACGTCAGGTCAGCCCCTTTGTGCAGCGCACCACAACGGCCCGAGGCTTGAAACACGTTGGAGGTCTATTCATCCTACGCCTGCTGCTTGCTGCCTCGAGGCACCATCACCCCCCCCTGTGTGTGACTTCCAACAGTCAAGAGTATACCGGTGAGCATCTTTGGTTGGCGACATGATAAGGAAGAACGAACAAAAAATGTCGTTGTTCTCACGCCATGGGTTATTGCCTTCGTGTTCATGGGGCGGGTCATTTTGTTCTGGTTGCAACATGTGTGTGCCGGCGCCAATGTATGTGCTCGCGGACGAACCGACCCCGGCGCCACCGGCGGCGGAAAATCCCAACGATCCACGACGGGTAACCCGACAATTCGCCCACTCCATGTGCCAGACTCCCATTAGCAGCAGCGGCAATCGCCCCCTTTTGCATAAAACGTTCACACATCGCCGTTGGTGTGTTCCGTATTTTTTTGTCTGCTGGTCCTTCGTCGTTGCTGTCATCCCGCAACGAGCATCCAATGCGTCATCGTGGAAGCGAACAACGACGATGTGGGCCCCAAGACCCATGTGTCTGCTGCTGTCTGTCGACGTCAGCAGCCTCTATCTCTCTTGAGTTAGGGCAGAGGTCGGGTATTATACAGCGTGTTGGAGGTGTACGTAGGTAGCTGCTGCACGCGGTATTTCTACTCCAATCGTGTCCTCGTGTGACGATGAAAGAAGAAGTATCAAACCACTGCCTTTGTTTCCGTTCGCAGTTTTTCCTCTTCTTGACAGCAGCAGACGATGACGGCAGTCGTCACCCCTGTTCGGTGGGTACAAGGTGAGACGTTTTTTGCGGAAGCCCGAAACATGTGCGATGTGCGTTTGGCACACGTCGTCGGTGCTATTTGTTTCGGGGCATGCATGCAGTGCAGTGCGCAGGAATCTTCGGTGCGTACAGCGTTCCAGGTGTTTAAACCTGCCCCTTAGGAGCACCGAACACATCATGCATCAGACAAACGGCGAGGTATGTGTCGCCTGCCGCCATCAGCTGGGGCACGTGAACACAAACGTCATATGCCTTCTTGGATAACCCACGCTTGCCAGCCGCCGTACAAATCAATTGTCCCGTTCTGGGGGCCTGGCTACCCTCCAAAAATACAGCTGCTGTGAGTGTGTGCTGCTTGCCATGTGCTGCACGCTTTGGTGTACGCATGTATTCAGTTCATCTGCGAGACAAATGAAAACGGCGTGCGCTTCGCGACACCTCGAATACATCATTTGCGTGGGGGTGCGCCTGATACACGAACCGAAGGGTACCGGCGCATACCGATATCCAGCCGGGGTTTACTCAAATCTTAACTTCAACTGCTGCATTGAAGAACTGTAGATTCACGACGCTTTGGGTGACGACAAAAAGAACTGTTGAGGTTGGGTACTGGACCAGTACGCACTGCCAGTGCTTGTGTACTGGCAGTAAGTACAATTGCACTGCCAACCATTGCAATGTATCGCTGGTTGGTGGCCATTTTTGCGTGTTTGCTTGTCGTTAGTCTCTCCACCGTGTGCCTTTTTCTCTCTCTCATTTCTTGTTATTTTCGGCCTGGTCCCTTTTTGTCCTCGCTTATTTCATTTTCTCTTTCCTTTCTGTTTCAATTTATTTTCTTCGCCTTTTCTCTTTTTCTCTCTTTTTCTTTGCCAGATGGCCTTGTCTCTGCTTGCGTTGTGAAGTACCAAGTTTGAACACAGGGGGTGTACCTCATTCTCTCCGGCCCGTGATGGTGACTCCTAGTCTCAGTTGTTACCTCGCGTAGCACGCAGAGGGAGTGGAGGACTCCAGAATTGTTGTTGTTGTTGTTTCTCACATTAGCTCTAAAAAAGAGAGATTGGGAGCCCGTGGTCTCAAAACCCGGCATACACGACCCCACGAAGAAACAGAATAAAATAGGGCACAAAAACCACTCGGAAGAGAAACAAAATGATAGAAAGAAAGAGCAGCTACAGCACCGAACGAGAAAGAGCGTCGAGGAGACCGATCAAAATAAAATAAAAGGAGAACGGGGAACGCTTCCCACACCCGCCTACAACTAATAATATATGTCGTTGATTTTTATTGACTTGCGGACCCCGGGCCATTTTATTTGAGTGTACGTTTTTAGGTTGAGTTAGCCTGCGACCACGGGAATCGACCGCGTCGAGTGGATCAGTACGGACATACGAAGGTACTGGGTAGAGAGATATCGGAACGGTTTTGAATGTGAAGACAGCAACAACAACAACAATTGTAGCCAGTTCACCAGTACAGTCGACCCCCCTTAAAGGAAACCTTTTTTTGTGAGCACCAGGGGGCCCGGCGGAACGCACGATGATGGGGTACCTCGCTTTTTTTTCCGCGTACCCCGTTTTTGTGTCCTGCGGGCTAGCGCTCTTTGCACGCACCACGCAGCACGGAAGTATCGACGCACAGACAGCAAAAGTAGCGAGCGGTGTGCTGCTGCAGCTGTAACTGGGTGTTGGTATGGATAGATTCCTCCCATCTACCGGCGGTCCATCTAATGCCGCTAAAGAAACATGTGGAGAACCAAGGTGTGCGATGAGATCTCTACTGATCGCCGCAGTCCACCAGTGATCATGCGGGCGGCCGAGGAATCGGTGAGGGTGACTTCGGGCAGCAGGGAGAGTGCACAGATTGTCAGAGGAGAACGACTACACGCAAGATCGGCACCTGCACAAGTCTCATGGAGGTGGCGACAACGAGGACAACAGCAGCAGGTGATGATTGTGATTTACAGCAGTCAGCAGCAGCAGCAGCAGCAGCAGCAGCAGCAGCAGCCATCGGCCGACCGCGTGCTGTTGAGCTGTTGAGCAGGAAAGCGTGCACCACGATGATACATGTATATCACATGTCCTTGCCTTGGTCTAATTCTTGTCAAACAACAGCAGCGTCAGGATGCCAGAACAACTCACTTGAGATTGTCTGCACAAGGCTGCGTGTGTGTTTTTATTTCCGCGTGTGTGTGTTATATTTTTTGTCATGACATACGATCGTCAAAATATATATGGTCCGTGCAAAACAATTTGACCAAAATTCCCCCCTGCACAAATGACAACTTTTCTCTGTACACGGGTGGGTGTTCCGAAATCTGAAAGTACCGGCAAACGCCCTGTTTCTAGGCGCATGGCGTGAGTGAGTTTTTTTTTTTACTTTTTATTTCCGAGAAACCGGACAAACTTGTTTTGTTTACAGCGGGTGGTCTTCTTTGCCGATGACGAAAAACTCAACGGGTTTGGACAGATCTCCGAATTTGGCACATGTTTTTTTTTCCCGAAATTCTCGAAAATGAAGAAAATATCATGGACAAACTTGTTATAGAGGGTCAATTTGTTTTGTGTGTACAACACGATAACTAACCGATAGATTTCAAAAAAACAGCGGCAAACGATCCCTCTGGTCAGTCTCCGGGTGGGTATTATTTTTTGCTGGGAAAAATCTGGTTCTCGAGATATTCCACATTTTGTTGTGCCGCACCATGGGTGACTTGTTTTTCCGCTGTGACACGTACACACAACACGCGCACCCGCGCAGCAAAAAAAACACGAACACGCACACAAGCTCTATGGGTAAGCCCAAGCGAAGGCCTAGGCCGAAGAAATTCGGTAGTCGCGGCCCGGATGGCCGCGCGGTTTCCAAGAAACCAAAGCTGGCGCAGCAATATGATCTGTCACCCAGCGCTGGCGATGGTCACGACGGCGCAGATTCTATGGTTGTGGACGGGGATGAAAGGACGGTGGCGGCAGGCGAGGACGCCAACGACGAGGACTGGTGCGATGAGGATCCCAGCGGGTCACACAGCAGTGGTGGAGGTCAGTCGATACTGAGTTTTGCGCAAAAGTCACTGGTGTCCGCAGCACGCGCAAGCAGGATACCCGGCGCAAAAAATCCCGCCGCGTGTGCTCTCCCGAAGCCAAAAGTATCGCAACAGAAGAAACTTCTCGGCCTCGAAGCGGGGAGCCTGGCACAAACTATGGGAGAGTGGATGCAGCGGGCGCGACAGCAGCGGCAGGAAGAGGAGGAGAGTTCTTCTGTCGGTGGTGAGGTTGTAGAGGAGTCAGCGGCGGATTCAGAGGTTGCGCCGCACACAAGCCCTCGGGGCGGCGACAGCGCGGGTGGGGAGGTGGAGACCGGTAGCGTCGGCGACATGTCGATAGGTTCTGGCCATTCGCTTACCTTCGAGGAGTGGTACAGTCGCCAAGAGATGGAGGAAGCCGAGGGAGTGCTGGACAACAACTGCGATGACTCATCAGACGGGTTTCTTGACGGTTTAGATTTCAGCAGCAGCAGTAGCAGCAGCAGCGGCGGCGGCGGCTCTGACGTGATGGGTGCCACCCCCACGCCTCTTGGCGAAGAGGCAGTAGGCGACGGGCAGGGGGGGGGGGGGGGGGGGGTACCTCAGTCGCATCCTCTGCGTCGCTCCCGCTTGCGCTGTCGTCGTCCATACCATCCCCAGAACGCCTATCCCTCCACTCTTGAAGGGCTTTGAACTCGTTGTAATGGGCTTCCCTGCGCTGCTTGAATTTCCTCGCTTTCTCCTGATCAACACAACGGAAGTCGTTCGAAAAAAAAACAGACATTCAGANATTCTGGTGCTTTCACTTCCAGAGACAGTTGTCAGCAATGTGTAACTGCCTCGAGGGTGCTTGACCATTTTAACACAACGTGGTGCGATCATCCCCCTTGCGCGGAGCGAGGGTTCTCGACCCCGCACAACATGATCTACTCGACCACCATTATGGTTACCGAAAAAAAAAAAAACGGAGGTAAAAAAAAAAACGGTAACCTGGTTGCCGAGTTCACGAAGTGAATTGGCTTGTTTTACAACGTCTTTGCCAAGCGACGAAAACCCAACCCCGATGGCAAACACCGGGGGGGGCGGCTTGTTCTACAACGTCGTTGCCAAGCGACGAAAACCCAACCCCGATGGTAAACACCGATGGTCAACACCGGGGGGGGGCAAACACCGGGGGGGGCGGCTTGTTTTACAACGTCGTCGCCAAGCGACGAAAACCCAACCCCGTGGTGGGGGGGGTGCAGGGGGCGGGGGCGAACGGTAAGGTCGGCAGTGTGCAAAGTACTGGCGTGCCTGCAGCCGCTGAGATTACCGCATCAGCGCCCTCCGGTCGAAGCACCCGACAGGGTCGTTTCGGCGGTGTGTTCGTCTTGCCGAAGCGAAAGTACGTATGGTGGTGGCTATCGAAAAGGGTGGTGATCTGTACAAATGGGAGCATGTGTGTCCGTGGTACAAACATGCAGAGCAGATACAAAGCAGATACTGTTCAGAGTAGCGGTACATGTGGTCTTTGGGGGGGGGGGGGNGTATGTGGTGGTTAAGGGGCACCGTGCATGATTTTTTGTCGAAAATGTTGCGTATCGCCAAAATAAGAAAAGCTCTACGGCTATCGACGTATCTCGACGAGGCGATCACGACGGTCGTTGTCTCAAGTTCCAACTTTTTTCAAAAAAAGTTTATCGCTCAAAACGTAATTGGTCAAATTGTTTGCATGGACTATATACGTTGTATATTTTTTTTTTCTCCCATCATTGGACTCTGTCGACTGCCCCTCTGGCCCCTATCCTCCACTTCAACTAGCTAGACGACCCCACCGGGGTCACTCAGGAGGGGGGGGTTGGACCCCCTCCTGCGGTTCCTGCTTGAGATATTTTTATCGCGAGAAGGTACAGCAACCTTCCCTCGCTACTTCCGAAGTCGATTATGGTTTACTAACAACGAACTCTGCAGCGCGTCGCTTTCATCCTAGACCAGGATTTATTTAGTGAGAAAAAACTCACTCTGCCGGGACTCGAACCCATGACCTGGTCCTTAGCAGGCTGCGAGGGTACCCACTAGACCACCGGGGCGACCGGCTATGTGTCGGTGTGTGTTGTTATTATTAGCGTCGACCGCGCTTACCGGCTAACCAATGGAAATACGTCAGTGTTTGTGCGGTTGAAAACACAAAACACTGCTACCTGCCATGAACCGGGACCCCGTGAGAGGGCAGCATGGGGGAGGCTAACCTATGCTTTGGATCAAAGACAGAAACAGTAGCAACAGAAGAAAACTGCACGCGTCTACCAAGGCTATTACCATGTACTCTAGTTCGTTTAGGAGTACTTTTACCATTATCCTCCTTGTTTTCGCGACCACCATTCTGATCCTGATTTTGACAAGAATCGCTGGGCAGTTCTTCCCTTGTCCTACGTTTTGTTTCGGGGAAGGTCATCTGGCTCAAACCCTTTGCTCTCTTCCACTCCTCCATGCTTTTCTCCTCCGTCGTCGTCTTCGTCCTCGTTTATTCCCTTTCCCTTTCCTTCGTCTCCGTCATTCCCAAAAGAATCACCCTCATCACTATCGTTGTCGCAGAGATCCCAACCATTGGCCCTGGTGGAAGTTGGTCGATCAGTAGCCCATGACGTTTGAACACATCGCGAGTTCGCATCGAAAGAAAACGAACTAGCTCGAAGGTAAACCGTCTTCGAATCCTATTAATATGAAAAGATTTTAGGCGAACTAAGGCTCGTTCGTCGTCAAAAGTCCCCCGGCAAAAGCTTCGTGCGCCAAGTGGTAGGCGATAGCAACGATGAGTCGATTGGNTCTCCTCCGTCGTCGTCTTCGTCCTCGTTTATTCCCTTTCCCTTTCCTTCGTCTCCGTCATTCCCAAAAGAATCACCCTCATCACTATCGTTGTCGCAGAGATCCCAACCATTGGCCCTGGTGGAAGTTGGTCGATCAGTAGCCCATGACGTTTGAACACATCGCGAGTTCGCATCGAAAGAAAACGAACTAGCTCGAAGGTAAACCGTCTTCGAATCCTATTAATATGAAAAGATTTTAGGCGAACTAAGGCTCGTTCGTCGTCAAAAGTCCCCCGGCAAAAGCTTCGTGCGCCAAGTGGTAGGCGATAGCAACGATGAGTCGATTGGTGCCTTTGCCAAGACGACCATTCGTTGAAAATGCAGCAGTAAGGAGGGTTGATCTAGACGGGTTGAAAGTTCCCGCATATTGATTTGCCTTACTTGCAGCTCGATCTTCGAGGGCGGATCCTGGCTTTTGCATCGACTTGTCGATGCTTCGACCTGCGGATGGGTTGACGATTGTTACGTCGATAAGAAGATTGGACTTGGTGCAGAGTTCCTCTTCCTTCTCTCTTGCGTGTAATCCTGGGGGGATTACCAAATCCATCGTGTATAGCCCCTTTCCCCTACCAGTGCCTGTTGTGAAAGGGGAATAATCTTCAACGGCGATGGGCATATGGCACTCACGCAGTGTGTTGAGGATTACGCAAACCATCCTGTTCTATGGGAGAAAGGTCGAGGCGCAGGTCTTGGTGCAAACGAGGGACGGGGCTCGGCTCAAGCGGTCCTTGCATGGTAACACTGCACCTTGACCACAAAGTTTGCCTGTGTCGCAGTCTGCTCGATCGTGACTCCCCAGTACACGACCGATTGACTCTCGATATAGATCAGGCAGCATTCTTTCATCTTCTGACAACCCTTGCGTTGTCAACCACGACAAACTCCCTTGCCTATCGCTTCCTCCAAGCGGATCAATGCCCTCTTCTTTGACATTTCCTCGCCTGATACCTTCTGCAAGTCTGTCTCCACCATGTGACGCATTGCTGCATGAAAAGGTTTCGAAAGGAGAGCTTGGGCTCCAAAGACTTGGTAGTGTTGACCAAATTCATTTCGGCTGAAGGTAGACGGTGGTTGATGTTCTACGTCAGGGTTTNGGTTTCGAAAGGAGAGCTTGGGCTCCAAAGACTTGGAAGTGTTGATCACATTCATTTCGGTTGTAGGTAGACGATGGTTGATGTTTTACGTCAGGGTTTCCATCTTAACTGGGTTTTCCCGCCTTCCCTGCAACACCTTCGAGGGCGGGGGTTAACTCATCACTTGTGGCAAGTTTAGCCGATGACTGCTCAACAGCTTTTTCAAGCTTGTCTTTGGTGATGATCTCCACTAGCTTCTTGAGTGAGTCAATCAGAGCCAATCCTGTTTGTAGCTGGGCAAGCCGGGGTAGACATTGCTCAACTGTGTATCCCGTCGATGCTTGCACTGCCACAAAAGATTATTCTCGAATGAGAACATTGCTCGTGATTCCTAGTCCTCCTTCACGCATGGGTAGGTGCACCTG